GATAGATAGATAGATAGATAGATAGATAGATAGATAGATAGATAGATAGATAGATAGATAGATAGATAGATAGATACTTTTTCTATCACACACCTGAAAAAAGTTAGGTTGCCCAAGAAGCTGCTTGGCACTTTCCCAGCCTGGTGAACAATTGAACAGCAAACAAAAAGCATCCATGATCTTCACCACTCCATCAGGTGGATCTCTGTAGTGACGAACCTCTTCCAGGTCAGATATATTCAAACACTGAAGAACCTTCAGACCTGACAGGAACACCGGTTTAATCTAAAGAAAATAATAATCACCCTTAAACATGAAGTAAACATTGACTAAAAATTCTTAAAAGCTCTAAAAGATGTGATTTAAGCAGGAGTTAAAAAGCTTTCTTTGCATTCACCAACTTTATTACATAAATTACTTCTATGATTTTGGAAAATGGCAGCATATACTTACCTCTTTCTGAGCCTGATTAATTTGCTGTTCTAAGTGACTCAGTTTGTTCTCTGCTACTTCACATTTCTCTAAAGCTGTTTCAAGGTGAATCTTCTGGCCCTCTAGAACTTTATAAAGCTCTTTTTCAAGCTGCAATTTTGTATAAAAAATTAGAAAATACAATTTAAGTAAAGATCTGTTATTAAAAATTCCAAATATATTTAAATAAACATTAATGAGAAAAGTACAGACAGAATAGTTTAATGTTTTGTACTATAAAAATATTTCTCACTGTAGCCATACAGGACAATGAGCTCACCGAGATGGTAGGATCCTCCACATTACCTGCTGTTTCTTTTGAGTCTTCTCTTGCAGTCTTGCTAAATGCTCTTTATATTGCAAAGCTGTGTTGTTTATGACATCCAAATGAGCCAGAGCAGCAGCAAGCCTGAAAAACAGAAATTATTTGTATTTTGAAACTATTTTTATCATATCTAACTAGGTTATGTCAGGTTCTCTGGATGGGTTCTTCTTTACCATAAGATACCAGCTTTATTTATAAAGCACTTTAAAGAACCGTAGGATCAAAATGTTGTATAAGTACAGTCAATAAAACCAATAAGAGTCACAATACATAACTTTCGCATTGTGGCAAAAGTTCTGTTATTTGCAATTATGCAACTCAAATGAAAGCAAACCAAAAACTGCCTTATTTATTTATTTTATTTATTTATTATTATTGTTATTTATGTATTTAGTTTATTAAACTGCCTTATAACAAAAACAAATTGATCTATCAATCAAATTAAATTGGTTAAAATAAACTACAATTGAACTAAAAATCAATATCTCAGGCGGTGTCAAAAGCCGAGGAGAAGAGATGAGTTTTAAGGAGTGATTTAAAAACAGACAGAGGAGGACATCTGTCTGATGCTCAAAGGCACGTTGTTCCACATTTTAGAAGCAACTACAGAGAAAGCATAATCCCCTTGAAGCTTTTGTTTTGTTTTTAAGAGCAGCTGGTCTGCAGACCTGAGACAATAGGAAGGCGTGTAACAGCTCAGTGAGACAAGGTAGGGTAAAACCATTTAAAGCTTTAAAAACAAATAAAAGAACTTTTAAATGAATCCTAAAATGTACAGGCAGCCAGCGCATCAAAGCTAAAACTGGAGAAATGTGCTAACTTTTCTTTTTGTGCCAGTTGTGATGTGCAGCAGCATTTTGGACCCTCGAGGTGAGCAGAGGAAGCGCTGACCTCTATATAAAGCGCACTACAGCAATCCAGCTGAGGCGAGCAGTGATGAAGGAGTGGATTTGTCTCAAAGTCCTTGCTAGTAAGAATTGGCTTGACTTTAGCCAGCTGCCTTAAATAAATAAAAAAGCTTGATGATCAAATTTAAAACAATTATCCACTTTGACCCTCAGGATTGTGGTCACAAACAGGGTTTAGGATATTGAGCCAATGGATGCAAATCTACATGTGAGGTGTCAGTGGATGTTCCAAAAAAAAAAACATAACCTCAGTCTTCATCTCATTCAAATACAAGAGAGCCATCTAGGTCTTTAAGTCCTCAAGACATTATAGTAGTTCAAAAGAAAATGAGTCCTTCTTCTTAAGGGGGACATAAACTTGACAATCATCTGCATACAAATGAAAATGAATTCTGTTATTTCCAAAAATGAGCCCAAATGGAAGTAAATAAAAACAAATGAGATGAGAAAGGGCCCTAAAAAGGAACCCTGTGGAACACCACATAAAGAACACATGTTCGCTATAGCTGACACAGAAAGGTTGCTTGCTCAGACACAATCTGAACCATTCCAGTGCTGTGCCTCTAATGCCCAGTCACTGCTCCAAATGAGAAAGTAAAATCTGATGGTCCACAAAGGCAGCAAAATATAAAAGCACAAGAACAACACACTCTCCAGAGTCAGTGGCTAAATATAGGTCATTAAAAACTTTTTAAAAGGCTTGATTCTGTGCTGTGTAGTGATTTAAAACCCGACTATAAAACCTCTAACATTTAGCTTTTTCAAGAAGGCCATCAATTGGTTGTAAACTACTTCCTCAATGATCTTAGAAAGAAAAGGTAATTTAGCTGTTTCTTTGTTGAAACATTTTGTCTTTTGGCCAAAAGACTTCCAGAGAACCTGACAACCTTATCAGAGTCACCTACCTGAATTATTGAGCATGCATCATGATATTTTACTATAGATGATGCGTTGTATTTTTAGTTTAAATCGAGTAGGACCAGATGCAATGTCTTCCTTGCAAACATGAAGTGAATTTGAATCATTTTACCCTTCCGACCTTAACCAGTCAGAATTTTCAGGACGCATTAATAGCCATTTGCTTAAACTTTTTATTAGCCCAAGGGTGAAACCAATCATTTAAAATGACAGTTTAAGTTCAGTATAAAAACTTTTCTTATTTATAGCTTCTTTGGGTGCAAAGAAAGAAAAAGTTAGTCAATTGTGATCATTTAGAAGTTTTTCACATTTAGAATATATTTGTAAGCTTACAAAAAAAAACCTGGAACAACTTTGACCTAAATAGCTTTTCTGACAAGAAAATGTTACAGTACGGTTAATAAAAAGCATAATGCAGCTAATAAGGTTTAATTTAAAAAGTAGCTACTGTACATTAAGTGTCATGATCATTTAAGGTAAACTGCACTGCTATATAATAAACTGATTCCAGTTACACCATTACAACTGTAAAGTTAGACAGAAAATTAAAGTAAAAAACAGTTTTACTGATTTAAATAGTTACCTGTTGTTTTTGTTTTGCCATTCTCCTTGTAGTTTGCTGCCAAGGGAGCCAAAGAATGAAATAAACGCCACATATGTCTGAGGGCTGAAAGACTGAGCTTTCAGAAAAACAGAAGCATAATGACATGCAGACTGGTGGATTCCTGCCAAGGTCACAGTCACTTGGTCCTCAGAGCTTTCTCTGGGCACTTTAGAAAAAGAAAAAAAGAAAATGTCATATGTTTGAATGAAGTTTGAAAGAAATCCTACTAGGAAAATATGATGGAAAAACAGTGTTCATTCACCAACCTAAGTGTTGTGACTCATTTTCACTGGAACAGATTTTGAAGCATTGAATTGCAGCTTCCATCAAAGACTGTTTGGACCACATCTGGTACACCTCTACACAGCAGCTGAGCCTAATGGCTTTGAACATTTGTGCCTGGTTTATGAAAAAAGACTTAAAATAAGATGGCTATCCAAAACACACCAAGTTGTGTCATTTAAGATGTTTTCATGTTCCGTAAATTAATCTAAAATCTCATTTATTTTCACAGTTTGCAGTTAGCTTGTATTTATGCTGACAATAAAAAAAAGATTGTTTTTTTTTACAGAATGTTGATGCAAGTTTCAACAAAATTAATACTAATAAATTACTTACGTTCCAAGTTTGGACATTTTTGTTGTCAGGTATTTTACCGTTGCTTGTCATTGTGAAAGGCATCAACAAAAACACATGAATGTTTTTGTGGACTTGACTTAAAGACCTGTGGATGGAATGATTATCAAAAGTTTACAATTAACAAGCACAATGCGATATTATGTCCAGCAACTGCTATAAGTAGTCATCTTTCCTACAAATTTCTTAAGAATTACTTGATCTTACCCTCACCACTGTATTTTTATAACATGTGCAATTTAATGTGAACATACAGTATTTGACAATACCCACTGGATCCTGAATAGACCTAGTGTTTAAAAGGTAGCAAATTCTACTTCTTGCAAAAATATTAAATGATAAAACTGCTATTTCCACTTACTTCTCAGTTATCCAACTGTCAATAAGGGATCTTGTTGTGTGCTTTACAGCAGTCACTCTAGAAACAAGGTTTCTCAACTCATCCTCTGTGGAAAGCCCTGGGAAGACTTTCTGAGCCATCGCCACAAGTAGTTCTTCTCTAACAGATGGGGTGACTTCTTCATGGACCAGTATGATGGCATGAACTCCATTCAAATTGGTTTGTTTTCCAGCTTCATTCAAGATTTCATGCAATTTATTCTGATTACCAGAATGTATTTCCACTAACTGATAGCCTGTGAGGTAGGCAGCTAAACGTACAGCAGTTTTACGACCTGTTCCTTTGCCCAAGCCAATCAGTACTCCATGGCCCCCAGGTATGAGAAAAGCTCTAAGGATGTGTAACAGCTGCCTCACACCATGCTTGTGCACAATGTATCTGGTTGTTGTGTTGTAGACACAATCAACATTCTGTTTTTTCTCTTCTCTGTTTATAAGTGCGTGTAGCTCCTGTCGTAGTGCATCTAAGTCTTGCTCCTGATACACGTGTTTATCTTTAAAACTATGTTTCTGATTTGTAAACTTCAGGGTCTCAGAGAATTCAGGTCCATACACAAGGGTACTCATTATGTCCTCTAAATGCTTAAAAGTCTGTGGTTGCACAGGTTCATGTGTTAGGGTTGTCTCTTCTGAGGAAATGGTTTTAGATTCATTCTGAGTATGACCATTTGTAAAGTATGTTTGGCCTGCTATTCTTGCTTGCTGATGCAGATTTTTAGCATCCAGATGCTGATCTCCTGAAGTGCATTTAGCCTCCACAACTAATGATGTATCATTCTTAACTTCTAAACAGCCTGTATGGTTTTCATCAACTAATTTATATCCAAAGTGAGCTGCAGCTGTTCCGACTAAAAGTGACATAAAAGTCTTCCTTTCATCTTCCAGACAAAGTCTATCACTGAAAGTATGCATGCACTCATGCATCCAAAGATGCACTATTTTAAGATCTAATGCTGTCAAACCTGACAGGGCTAAAAGAGATGGTGATGGTATATTTTTGCTATTTTGTGTAAACATTGTGTTTGAGATGTCATGCTGCCACAAGTACATCCCTGAAAACACCTTTTGGATGTCATGATGAAAAAATATTAGGTGGGGTCTCTCTGCAATGGGCTGGAACTGGGCACATACTGCATCAAACAGACTTTTAGTTGCAGTGATAATACAGTTGGACATTTTCTCACTACTGTGATTTAGTGGAATTTCTTTGAGCCAAATTTCCATCCATGGAGAGTGGATAGACAATATCACATTTAAAGATAGGCTAGGGAGGACAAAGATGGAGAATAGATGTGAGAGTCGTAAAGATATCACATGTCTGCAAGGATCACCCAATGCAGAAATGCAGCTTGTAGCCAGATAGCTGACAGAACTCAGTGACTTAAAGGAGTAAGTGTCAAATGTCAGAATCTCTCCCTTTGAAATGCTTTGACGTAAAGTCTCCAGTGCCGTTGATACTTTTCCAAATATATCTGTCAACAATAATGACAGAACAGACATTCAGAGTTTAAAAAAAGCTTTATCCCATGCACAGGTAGATTTCAATTTCATGTGTCAGAAAATTATTAGATATAGTTGACTTACCACAGGGGGCCTCATGCAAATCATCTACAAACAAAAGCAGGCCTGGCTGTTTTGTTATGGAACCCACTTTTTTTTTCCAGTTCCTCTGGAAGTGGATGTTGTTCAATATATTGTGCAAATCTCTGGAACTCAGGAGTGGACTTGCTGGTAGAGTAATGTGAGGCCTTTCAAAACTTAGTAAAGTATTACACATTGTTGTTTTTCCAGAACCTGGTTCCCCTGCAAGCAACACTGGCTGGTTTGCCTCCAACATCAGGTTCAGAAGATGCCTGTATGTCCCAGGCTGTGTAGAAATTTTAGAACTCTTCAACTTGAGCATTCTATAAGAGTTAACTAATAATAAAATGTTCAAATATTTGAATGCAGCTAAGAGCACATTGTATGCATTTTCTCTACCGTAGGAACAATTTTATAAACAAACCTTGGGAATGATGGATTTTGTCAACTGGGTTTCTTTAGGACACATCTTATCATCGATTCCAAAAAAGTGCTCAAATACACTTTCTTCGTCTGGAACTGAAATTTTGTATCTAGACGAAAACAGCACTTGGCGAGCTAACAAGTCAAACTTTGTCCAGTGGCTGAAAAAAAGACAAAAGTATTTTTAAACAATATTTTATGAGGTATTTGTACTAATACCTAGTATACAGTACAAATGAGCAGTTTTCACACATTAACTAATCGACATATTAAGATAAAAATGGAACTACCGAGAATGCAGATGTGCACCAAATCCCCAAATGTAAGACACCAAGAAAAGATTCCGGGTGAGCAGATCCTGTTTATTTTGGGCATCAATGCCTGGATCCTTGGTTCCATCTTTATGGTACATGTGCACAAGAAATGTTACTGTTGTAATAATTATAAAATGACTATATATTTACCTCAAGATTATTAGCTCATCTGTGAAATTTTCATACCTACTTTTCCTTTTTGTGATGTTTTATAGTTTTCAAGCTGGTTCACAAAATTATGCAGGAGGGCACGCAGGATCCTAAAAAAGGACATGATTTCTTGCAGACCATAGCTCTTACAAGATCCTCTTTCACAATGGTTGACTGAGGTTAAATCATTTTGCACAAGCAAATTCAAAGTGCTTGAGAAAAGGTCATTTGCCAAACGATTCCACAAGTTCAGGACTTCTTGGTCCAGTTTGTGTTCAAAAAGGAGAGCCTCCATTTCACTTTTCCATATAGATTTCCACAGATCAGTACCTGTGAAATAAACTAAGCTGCAGCGGGCCACTACAGATGGACTTGCATCTTGTAGGTTGGTGATCTCCATAAGTAGACTGAGGTGTGGTTGAGATAACAATGTTTCACCTGATGGCAGACACAAATATGGTTCTTGAGTACTGAATAATGTGGTTAAGTAATCTAACCAGCTAGGCTGCCCCACAGGCTCCCCATCCATCACCAACCACTTCATTATCAATGTCTCTTCTGTTTTACTCCTATTGTTGTAGTTTTCAAAACATGTGCAACAACGCCCTAAATCTCTCAGCACCTTTGCAACAGCTCCATCTTTCCAGCCTCTCTTTTCACAGAAGCAACCAAACAGTTCATCGTGAGACATAGCATTGGGAAATAAGACCAGACTTTGAACAAAGTGCCAGTTTGATACCGAAGATGGTGGATCTGCATGTGAAGTATCCATTTTGATAATATTCTCATTTTCAGATATATTTGTGCCTTTACTGGAAGCCAGTCTGTTGAGTGCCCCTGCCAGAGCTTTGTAACAAGCTGATTTTCCACTACCCGAGGGACCTATGAGGATAACTGCTGGAGAGAACTTGAGGGCCTGGTAGAGTGTAAGGGCTTTGCTAATTATTTCCATGTCAGAGTAAAGGTGTGTTTGTTGTAGCTCCTCTGTAAGCGCATCCAGAAGTTGAATCCTTTCTCTTTCTTCAATATACTGTTGAAAAAAAGGAAACTGGCACACAATAGGAAATGTGTCCTTAAAAATCTTGTAGAATTGTGACGTCTTCTTGTGTTCAGGTTCCAAAACAGAAAGAATTGCTTTGACAATAGCCGTTTCCTCCATTAAAGACTGTATAACTGATAATTGAGAAATGCGTAATTTTGAAAGCTTTGCAATTTCCTTTTTATCCTTCTCCAGTGGTCTGGCAGGCATAGTTTGTGAACACAAAAGCTTATCACATTCAGTTCTTGAAACCTTAGTCTCATTCAAAATTTCTTGTTGACTTGCAGCATGTTGTAAGTACATTTCAGAGGCAGAGATTATCTTTTGCAATACAACAAGAAAGCAGCTTTGATTGTCTGTGAAAACATCAGTCAAACAGTTGGAATCTTTGGCCAAGCTGATCAGGGACACCAGACGATAACTTAAAGACATGGCTTCAGAGAAACCAATTGAAGTTAATGTTACTTCAGCAACTATTCTATAATCTGGGTGTGTCAATGCAATAGGTCTGGTTACAAATCGCAGACTTTCTGGAATATTGGGAGCATACCCATTTGATGAGATGAGAACACATCCATAGCTTGAAATGGGAAAGATTTTTTTCCCTAAAAATACAATATGACATTCAGGATCAGAAATGTTTCTGCAAGCAGAAAACTTTCCATCTGGTTTGTTGTCTGGTTCATCATTCAGTCTTTGGTTTTTAGTTTTTTGTGACCTGAAGAATTGATGTATGTCCACTAGAAGCTGTCCTAGTGAGGACAGGACATGTTGTCTCAGTAAGTCCACAGATTCCAGTAGCAACCATGCACCTGACTGAAGTGCACCCTTAAACATATGTTGAACAACACCAGATGTCATGCTTGGATAACACTGTCTAAGAACATACAGTTGTCCAATAGCTTTTCCCAACTGGACTGCAGTGTTTGTTTTTCCGCTCATGGAAGGTCCACTCACATACCCAGACCTGTACCTTGTCAGAGCAAGGATTAGCCCCTGTATTGTCTTGTCTGTGGAAGGTGTATGCACCATCAACAAGTCTTCTGGTCCATAATACTCAAAGCCATATTGAAATTGGTGCCCCAAAACATCCACATAGCACAATGAATTACCAGCGTCTTGCAGACTTTGATCTTCTGGATTTATATGATACTTCATCAAGCTTAGCCACTCAAAAGACTTCTCCAGCATGCACAGTACCTTCATAAGTAGTGACAACTGTTGTGCATGATTCATTGTAAGCTGTACCAAAGCACGCAAACCCATCATTGTGTACTTGGAAACCAGAGATTTACTTGTAGAGCCCATAACTGCATTCCTTATGGTATTACCAAGGATTTCCAGTTTTACATAGTTGTATGTCTTTATTTTGCTCAGCTTTGCAAGACTGTTTTCTTGAAAAGCCTCCAGAACAGCATTACACCAAACTGCCTCTTGAACCACCAGCAGACATTGAAGTGGATACTCAGAAAGCAGATCTAATTCATGCTGTGGATCTTCCATTACATCAGAATTGCATAGCTGTGCGTCTGCGTCTTTCTTGTCACATGCTAAATCTTGACTGGATGATTCACGTTGGTTTTGCACCCATGCACATTGCTGCATAAGCTTCATCATGGTCAACTTCAACTGTTGTTCAAAGACACATAACCAACTCAGGACATCAGAATTTGGTTCCAAGGGAGGTTGAAAAGAAATGTGTTCCTGCAGGCTGCCCATAACACCAAGCACCTTCATTTGGTTTGGATTTTCAGATGAAGGCTTACAGCTCTCCATGTTGATTGTATTACTTGGTATTTCAAAGTCCACTTCAAGCCAGCATACTCCTCTGAAGCATTTGCGTATCAAGTTCTGCAGCGTAAAAGGCAATGGATGATAAGAAAGTAGTTGCATCACCTCCCTGTCTCTCAAGAACCAGAGTCTTGAAAACTGGTCTCGAACAGTACAAAGGAACTCCTCCATCTGGTTGAAAATGGCTTGCATTGTAGACAAACCTTCACTGAGAATCTGGCAAAGTCCATTACCATGAAATCTGTCATTTGTCTCTGTGAACAAAAAGTTCAGCACATGTGGTTCTGCAGATACAGAGCTCATCAGCTCTTTAAAAGTCTCATCAACTGGTTGAAAACACCTCAGCTACAAAAAGAAGGGAACAAACAGTTCAACTTCAAAATATCAAATATTTTCAAAAAACAGGTATTTCTTGAAGTTTTTATAAATTAAATATGTTTAGCTTATGATGATAATGGAACTTACCAGATCTCCTCCTTGAACATAAAAGGGTGTTTCTCGAAATGTCTTGGTCAATAAGGCCCACATTTGTTGATGTGTTTCAAATAAATCAAGTAGCTTAGCTATAAATGTTTTTTTAAAAATGAAATCAATAAGCACTTCAAGACAAGTAAAATAATAATAATACTTGTCTAATTGCTGCTTTACCAAGCTCTCGTAGTGACTGAACCCAATCATCCAACTGCAACCTGAATGCAACACTGACTGGGGACTTCATCATGATGGACAGAGTTATCAGATCATTGTCAATCTCAGCAAAGAGTGTTTCTAGGCCTAAAAAAAAGAAACGTAAAGCAAATTCTAACAACTTGTAAGCAGAATATTACAGTTACTAATTATGTCAGAAAAGTAGCATAAGTAGCTACATTTATATTACTAAAGTCCTTAATTATATTTGGTCTCACCGATAATGATAAATCTGGAGTCATCACATGAGCATGGACTGACTGACTGAACATTTAAAGGAGTGACTTCTGTGAACCTGTTTTCCTTTGATAAGCCATCCTGTGTTTCACAGTGCTGACAAGCAGGAACAAATACTTCATCTAGCTGAAATAATTTGTCCTTCCATCCCAGAGAAAGCTTTTGAAAGCCCTGCATCACTTTCCGCTCTGTTTGTGCATCCCTGCATATCTGACAAGATAAAAATGTACTGTATTTCATGTGAAATGATTACTGAGCCTGTTTTTATAAGCAGATATTTCAACATTGTTTTCATAGTGCCTACTTGTTCTAAACATAATTTCTGTCTTGCGTACTAACCTTGTCAATTAGTCTTTGGTGATTTTCAGGTTGCTGAGACATAACTTCAACTACAGTGAATGTCTTCCCTGGAACATACAATAGCCCCAACCCTATAAAACAGAACCAATTATAGTCATAGATATGAGAATCAGAATCATATCTTTTGGTCAAGAAATTGGTTTCCAATGTTATTGTCAATCTAGTAATTCAAATACTTTATACAATACTCAGTCTTTGCGTTTGGTTATAAACAACTTGCAACATACATTACGTTGCAGAAAATACACAACTATAATAGATACGCTGGGAACTAATACACTATGCTTGCATAAAAATACATTATAATCAAAACCTCCAACCTTGGAAAATAGCTTTCCTGTGATTTTCTTTCAGTGTAGAACTGGTCAGCTTTGCCATCACTTCAACCTGAGAACTGAGACTATCCAGGACTCCTGAAGTCTCCTCCAGCAGTGCATCACTGATAGGTATGATATTTGTCAAACAACAAATTTGCTCCTTCCATTTAGCAATGTTTTCCTGAGCTTGTGAGATCACAACCTAAAAAGACAGAACTGCAGATTAATAGAGTAAAATTTAATATAGAGGAGTTTATATGTCTATTTTCTGAGGCAACATTTGTCATGAGACTGTAAGGAAGAGCAATACTAAGAATTCAAATTATTTCTTAAATAATTAAAATACTCAATCTAATAGCAATACAGCTACAGAGCAACATACAGATAAGCATGTTACCTAGTTAAATGTGTATGCATGTTTGCATGTATAGGGTGCTTTTGTTCTCAATAAATACAAAAAGACAATCATTTAAGGTTAGGGCACATTCTATTTTAAAAATGTAACAAATCAATATGTCTATAACCAACAACAACAAAAAAAATCATATTCTTGCAAATTAAAAATAAAGATCTGACAAGTTACCTCACTGAGTTGTAGCTGTTTCCACTCTTCCAACCATGCAGTGAATGCAACTTTTAGTTGCCACAACTCTTTACGAGCTGTAACTTTTCTAACACCAGTAGTCAAACTGGTTAAATCCAGTGGATGTTCTACAGAACAAAAACAGAGGTTATGCAATTAGATACCATCTTGTGAAAAAACAAATAATTTTAGCTTTTAATCTAACATTTATACAATGAAATTTAACATTTGAAACTTTTTTTTTGCTTCACCTTGCATGTTTTGACTGCTCAAGTAAAGTTCTTCCAGCTTTGGGCTGAGACTCTGCGCATGCGCACACATGTAATTTAGCTTGGAGACCATCTCATTGGCATTCTGACTCGGGTCAAGGAAAGACCCAGATGTAGCCTTGAAGATTATATTTTTAAGGTCACAGACCAAAAATGAAACCATTGTGTCCAATGCATCAATCACTGAAGGAAGACTGTGGTACAAAAGGCTATCTGCTTGCTTCAAGAGGGAAATAAAATTATCCCACAAGCTCAGCATCTAAATATAGAACACAAACATGAGAGCATCTCTTCAGTAAAAAAAAATAGTCATTCTGGGATTTGATCAAACAGCTGTAATGTTTCAAAGTTATGCACATAAATAAAGAGCACAACTATAAAGGAGTTATTTATGGAATCATTTTGACATTATTGCCAGCAAACCTTTTCTTTTAAAGTTTGCTCCTGCTCAGTCATTTCCCTATAGTTCATGCAAATAGTGTTGTGGAGGGAAAGAATGTATTCCAAACGTTTCTGCATGTCAGCCAACATTTTCACTGATTCCTTCACCTGCACGGGAAAAAACAGAGAAAAAATTGTTTGTTTTTTCTGTTTTCGAAATTAATTAAGTTCGATAAGTGAAAAAATGCATTTATTATCTTACATCATAAAACTATCAGGAGATAAAACATTTTATGTTCAGATGATGTTTTAAAATGACAACTGTACAGTGTTTGAAGATATCATGTCCTAAACACATTTTGTAACAGAGATGATGATGAACAGCTCTTATACTTAAATATGTATAAACTTTCCAAACAACCTTTTTAAAAAGCTGCAGAAAAAAGTCCAAGGCTGAGTCGGTTCCTCTGGACGGATTCTTTTTTGTTGAAACTTGTGTCTTTTGTCCAAAAGACGTCTTGTAAGACAAGACAAGAGTTCTTGTAAGAAGTTTTTTTTTGGATAAAAGATGAAACGTTTCAACAAAGAAGAATCCATCCAGAGGACATGAGTCAACCTTGAAAGATTTATCTACCTGGATTATTGAGCATGCATCAGGACCTGCCGTAAAAGTGTTCCTTTAAAAAGTAATATTGTAAACTTTATTGCAGGAAGCAGTACCTCAGATAATGAAATCAAAGTACATAATACATTTCCTCTTACACAGCAATGTCTTCTACATAAATTATTCAGTATACTGTACTTGAATTCATGTGACTAAAAGGCAGCCATATAAAGCATGACATTCCCATCAACCTAGAGCAAATCCCTTTTTGTTGTCCCTTTAGACCATTCTTCTTTTTGCACTGATAACCAGCTTCTCTACAACGTGATGCATGTGTTTTACATGTTTTGAATGTAATTTCAGAGTTCCCATACCCTTAAAGCATAAATTGAGAAGCCGTGCAAGTCTTCAGGTTCTGTCTTAAGTTCATCAGAAGTCTGCACCAAGTCAGATATGAAGCTTTCCGAGTTGATCTTCACTTGATCAACCAGCTGCTCCAAGATCTGCTCCTCAATGAGGCACAACTGTTGCCCTGAAAAAAAAAGTGAAATGGGGAAGAGAATTACAGTGAAAACAGAGAATATGGGAAATGATTTCTTAATGAAAACATGTACTACATATATGTTCCTGAATAAGAAGACATTTTTAGTCAACGTGCAACTTATAGGTTGTTTGTGAAGCATACATATAAAATTCTGTTCAAATATGTTTTCTAAATACAAGAACTACTAATTAATTTAAAAAATAAAACATAATATTGTAAGTGTTACTTCTAAAAAAGTAGCTTGTCTAATTTAATCATGGATCATATGGCATAACCTGTCTTTGCTTGTATTATTTCAGTGTTTGTTTTCCTTTTGATTGCTCCCTTCTTCAGGGGTCACCACAGAAAGCAAACTCACATGAGAGATTTGGCATTTGTTTTACGCCGAATGCCCTTCCTGACACAAACTGGGCTCAAACCTGCAACCCCAGGATTCTAAGACTGCAGAGCTGAGCTACCACAGTTCAGGTATTATTTCATTATAACTGAAAACATAGTTATAGCTACAAATCAGAACATGCAACAAAAATAAATGTATTGTGCATATGAGTGAAGATGCTGGCTTGCAAGATGAACCTTAAGGTTGCGCTAAAAGAAAGGTTTTACCAGTGAACACGTACGTAGAGCTTCCTTTGTGTAAGAACAGCTGATGTTGAAGAGTTGGTTGGAGGTACAGATGAATGAGTCAACTGTGTTGATTCTCTGAGCCCAGCTGTGCAGCTGTTTAATGAGTTCCTCATATGCTGCAGCAGGCTGATCCTTCATGGATTCTAAAGAAGCTGGACTCCACTGAATAAGAAGCACGTGGATGTCCTTCAACCAGTCATAGCTTCTATACACCTGCTGAATCTCAATCTCAGTGTCCTGAAACAAGCAAGCGAAGAAAAACATTGGTAACGCATATACTGCAAACTCTTCTTCATAATTGTTGAAACTGCATAAAGACCAGTTCTTATAGTACACAGAAGTAAAAGTCTTGCCTGCATGAACTTGGCCTGCTCAGTCTCTACTTGTTTTGTCACATCGTTGGTGTTGATATGCCACTCAAGTTGGGTTTTAGACAGAGGAAAGTAGCAGCCGTGCACCATGTTGCTTTCCACTTTTAGAGAAGTTGCTTTAGACTGCACCAGCTGATGAACTGGCATGCCTCTGAGTGATAGGTCTTCCATTTTGTCATTGTTTTCTCCTAGTAATAAAACAAAAGTTGGTATTGAAAAAAACAACAAAATCAGCATCAATTGGATTTCGCAACTATAAATCCTGTAAAGTTTACAATAATCCTGTTAGCTAAAATCAATTGAAATTACATCAATGTTATTATCAGCAGAAATGTCTATACAAGTGACCATACCTGAATGATTAACACAGTTACAGACAGAGATTACACCCTGATCACAGTTGCACACATTGTTGCTGATCTCCAGGAAAAATCCCAAATTTTCACACCTCTGCCAGAAACAAAAAGGATTCATGTTGACATAAATTCATGCTCATTGCGCTAAAGAACGGCTATGACTAATAGCTTTTTTAAGGATGAAAACATTTGTTTTGCACATCTACGGACTAATGTAAAATACCTGAATAGTGGTGTTGACAGCAGTTATGATGAATTCACTGACGGTTTCGAAAAATTCATGGACTGGTGGGTCAACAGTCAGCTGACTGTTGGTACTGAAACACAAGTCGGTGTGAAACAGACAGCACTGTCGTGATGCAGCCCTCTAAAAAAACATTTAAAAAAATTATTATGCAAAATCGAAACTAAAAATATTATCTGTTTTGTACTGAATTTGTGTTATTGTAGTTTTGTGTCTATATTTATTCATCGCTTGTTGTGAAAATACTGTTTTTAATACAGATTACCATATTTTCCGCCGTACACATCGCACCACCATATAAGTCACATCAGTCCAAATATGTCTCATAAAGTGGAAAAATCCATAAATACGTCAATTAACCGTATACGTTGCATCTATTATGCGTCACCGCTGATGCATCGTATTTGTTACACATCACCGCTGACAACCCAGAAATGTGGGCTGGTGTTGTGCCAAAAATCGATTGGCTGCCAAATGGCGGCCACTGGAGCGTGCACAGGAGGACTTTAACAAGAATTTAACAAGATTAACACTTAAAAACAATTTTGTTTGCTTGATATTATAGCAAAGGTGTGTCTCAGTCTAACTTTTCCTTAGTAAATGCACTTTGACGGTCAAATCAGCTGCATTTAGATTTGCGGCCGTGGGAGCCTGCACGGGACGACTCGCTGTGCATTTCTTCAAAATTTAACAAGCACCTAAAAACAATTATTAGTTTGCTCGACTTCATAGTAAAGTTGTGTCTCAGTTGAACTTTTACTTAATAAATGCACTTCAATGGTCAAATTAGCTGCATTTCGCTGGGGCGGCGCCATGAAATGAAGCTGATTTGACGGTTGCACCAGGCGAGCTGGACAAAGGTGGCCATCTATGGCAAGCCAATTGTGACATTAATAGTCACTTTTATATATTATATGACACAATGGCATGCCATACTACTCGAGTGCCATCTAGCGTCTGAAAATGGTAGTGTTACATATTTTCAGTCAGAATGAAGGAAAACGGTCATATTTCAGCCAAAAATTGGTTTATAAATATGGGAAAAAATCTATAAATAAGTCACTTCTGCCTATAAGTGGCAGGGCATGGAAATTATGAACAAAAAACATGACTTATAGGCCGAAAAATATGGTGCACAACTGTTTTACGGTTGAGGTACACTGCATCACAGTGAAGTTCTTAAACTCCTGATACCTTTAAAAGTCTGAGAAGGGAAACCCCATCTTGTTGGGTTACTGTGACGAGACTCTGTACAAGCATTTGATGGACGAGCACAGCGAAACATCCCAGTTTCTGCAGGACGTTTTTAGATTGGCACAACTCTTTCTTTAACTGATTTTGATAGGCCAAATGCAGGTGAATGGGTTCCGAACATCCGGTTTGCCTCTTTGCAAGCTTTAGACGCATCTGAAGCTCTCTGTGTGTCTTATAGCTCTCCTCTCTCACCTAAGGATTAGAACAGCTTAATTAGATCTGATACAATTGAAAATTTTACAATAGGTCCCTTACAATATTGGTAAATATTTTGCAAAGATACAGTATTAAGTATATTAATGAAAAACTTTTTTTTTTGCTTTTAATTTGTTAATAATTGTGGCAGTATGCCAAGAAGACAGGAGGTTATTAATGTAAAAACATTTTTTAAATACCGCATTTAGAATATCAGCATGATACTGAGATAACGTTGTCAGCTTCAGAAGACACTCTTCGTTTTTGTGTATCAACACATTTTTGAATTCCAGCAGCGTGTAGGTTTTAGAGTCATCCAGATACATCAAGTGTGTCTCTTTCAGTTCCTCAGTTACCCTGTAAAAAGATATAGATGTTTGTTTGACACTGCACTTAACTCATACTATTTTTCATTAACGTTTCGCTCCATTCTGATTGTACAATAATACATTAAACGTATGGTATATACTTCAATTGAACAACCTGCACAATATACAGTAACTAGTACTCTAAATCTTACTTCAAGACTCAAATAAGGTCAAACTTACCTGGTAAACAAACAAAGAGCATTTCTGAACTGAGGGACAGCTACAAGAAGAATATCTTGCAGATTCTTACACCTTCGCTGAAAATGGATTGTTCGCATGTTCTTATACCACCTGCCACGTTTAACCACAGAGCAGATAAAAAGAGAAGCATAAAAAGATCAAGATAGAAGTTGCAATCAGTTGTTGAGCAAGTCAAAAAAACAGCTTACAGACTTTACCTAGTAAAAACTTTTTGCACTCTGAAGTTCCTGAAAAAAGGGATTTCCTGTAAAGTTGTCCACAACACATGCTCCCTGTACCACTCTGCGAGACACACAACTCCACCACAACCTGTCTTTGTCACATGAATCACGGTGCTACGAGAGAAGATATAGTGCTCAGGACCAGCCTCACTGGAATGGACGACCTGCAGGTCATAAGGTCTAAGAACAAAAATAATACGACAGTAAGACTCTGTATTTCAACTTTCAGAACTCAAATGAGACTGTAACAGCAGATAAAGAGTCCTCCTCACTTGTACCTGTAAGTATCCCCCTCTACTTGTTTTAAGTAAAACAGCTCCAGTTCCCTCGGGTCTCGTCTCTGGGCAAACATCTCAACAACTTCTGTGCCAGTATTTGGAAATGTTTCTGGTTGGGTCATCTTTTCATCTTTAGTTATCTTTTTCCCTGCTGGTACTTTTACGAATTCATCTTTTTCTTTAAGACTGAAACAAAACAATAATAAAAAAATAAATAATAAAAAAAAAAGCAGCATAAAGTTTAACAAGAATTTCGTTAGGAATCATAAAGCTTGAGGGGTAAATATTGATGTCAGCTTTTCTGTAACAAAAATGCGACAACACACAGGTTTAACACTGTTATTGTGTCAGTAAAATAATGTGTGCTAATTGTCTGTTAGGAGCACAGCTAGGTCTTCCACTATGACTATTATTTATTTATTTATTTATGCTTGTTTTAATAAAGAAGTGTGACAGTTGCAACAAAATTAAAAATTGCTTCAAATATGCAAATCATTTAAAATGTCAACTCAAAGGTGTGCAATATGCAAAAAAAATCAAGCCTCTATAATAATCATCTTGTACCTTTCTGCTTTCAGCTGAGTCGGTCCAGTGGGGATGGCAGCCCCTAATGCTGCAGCCATTAGTCTAGGCCCTTCTTTCCATTTAGTCTCAGCTATCGCTCTCTCTGCTCCTACTTCAGCAATAAGATGAGGCAGCTCCAGCAGTGACAAAGGTTTGTCAGATGGGACATTTTTTAAGATCGATGTGCAACTGAAAATGGATCCAGCTGCAGAGGATGTTGACAAGCAAGACGGCTGAGGGCACAGAGGTGGTAAAGTCCCTTCAGGAATGTAGGTCTTTTCTTTCACTTTGGATCCAGTCCTAGTTAAGTCTTTATTGCGGGTCTGAGAAGATCCTTGAGTTTTGTCCTTTGTTGAACGGGCAGCAAACATGCTGCAGATCTTTCTCTGTATACCATCAGCTGATTTATTAAAAACAAAACTGACTTTGCCTGGTCATCACTAATGCTAGAATTTCACAAGTGGCAAGAGAAAAAACAACAATTATACTTTTACCTTGCATCCTCTCTGTATTGTAAACAAGCTATATATTACAAAAAACAAGGCGTTAATAAAATTAGCATTAAAGTAATCACAAATTCTATACATCACTGATTTGTTTCAAACAACTTTCAAGTGGCAATGCCATATGTTTTCCAGTTTAATACAAGCTAACTTTAGGCTGATGAAGCTTCTCAGTCATCCAGGACATAGTAAACACCCCCCCCCCCCCCCCCCCCCCCTCCCCCCCAAAAAAAGTTAACAACAAAACAACTGGACTTTAGCTAACTTTAGTTGTACATTTTATCGTGTATCTTCACCTTTTCAGACCTCTGGGTGCATTTCAACTTATCCAGTAAATGTATTCAGGTAAAACAGAATGCTGATTAGCTAAGCTACAAATTAGCTTGCTTTTTATTAGCTAGCTAATTATGCTAGCAACTTTTAAGACAGTAGACTCGGTCGCGGAGTTAAAACCCGAGTATCCCACTCGTCTATTTTCCTAACATTAAGACAGCAACCCATTAAAAAAGAGCAAAAGCTAAAGAAAAGCGCTTTAACACAACGAATGAAACGGGCTTCAGTGATTGTCTTACCTGGACAGCAAGTTGTGTGCGCAGCCACAGCGACAGCTCGTTTCCATGGTAACAAACAGCTCGCGTCACGTGGGGGGCTGGTCGTTGAAGTGCGGCGAACTTAAACAGCTTTATTATCCTAAATGTCTCTTTTTGTTTCGTTTTGTTTTGTTTGTTCCTGCGTTGGCAAGACTATAGGTGACGCATTTTCTACTTTTGTTATGTTTCTCTCAGGTTAAAACACTAAAAAATTACAAAGATAAACTCAGATCTGCAGAACAAGCACGCCCTGATGGATGCCAGAGGACATCCAAGGTCAAATACACAAATAATGAATATTAAAAATGAAACCAAATGGATGCCTGCGCGTTTTTCGTATGTGTTTGCTTCTCTGCCAATGTTTATTTCTGTTATAATGTTACATGTTAAGTTTGTTTGTGTCCTTTAAGTTATTGCAGCAGCTTTTAATGCTCCATTTTTCACTGGTCCCTTGGGGATAAATACAATAAATAGAAATGAAATTTTGTTACAAGTGCATAAGTTTAAATAAATAAAAATAAAAAAAAACGCTTACATTACTCACCTTTTTTAATCTGGTATATTGTATATTTGTGTGCAAAGTTTTACAATTAATAAACCCACAAAAGGTGCCTGTTTAGAACCATCAGAACTATTATTATTATTATTATTATTATTATTAGCTATTAGGACTATTTCAGTTTTTTTTTATTCTGTTAAACCTCGCATAGGCAATGCAAACTTCTCAACATATTTAAGGTTCTGTCTTACAGAGTGATTTTCATCGTTTGTTTGTTTTTTGAAGAATTTATATACAGTAAAAAAATAAAATAAAATAAACAAACCTTACAGTTTTATTCTGAAAATGTCACACGTGAGATAAAAGGTTTCTTTTGATATTGTTTTCTAGCTGAAGCATACAAAATGCATGCAAACCATGTATGTTTTGGTTTACAATAAATCAGTATCCCATTGTTCTGTTTGACAATAAATTTGTCGGGGGTACAGCTCACCATGACAAGGAACAGCACAAAGTGGATACAGAAAATGAGTTAGTGCATGCATTGGCTCATTTGACTTTAAAATACAATGCAGCTAGTTCCGTCCCAAATCAAAAAGACCCTTAACTTTTTTCAAACTTAATAAACGTCACAAAGTGGGGAAAAATCTCAGAAATGGTTATTGACAGTACGGACAATGAAATGACTGCACAATTTTTCCACTCAGTCAAAACATTTACTATATATGTCCAGAAAACTATTAAAAAACATGTTTTTAAAATAGAGCAACACATGACAACATAAAGCTAGGAACGCCACTCATAAATGTAAGATCTGTTCTCAAATGCAATGCACAAAGAATGAACATACTCATCAAGAAGTCCAGTATAACCATATCCATGAAGTCCACCAGCCTCGTGCCCTTGTCATATGGTGCGGTCTTTTTGACACTTGCACAGTAATCAGGATCCGTCTCCCATCTAAAACACAAAGACAAGTGGCAACAAATGTATTCAGATCAATCCAATCATTTGTTGACACTAATAAAGGCAACTTAAACTATAAAAACCTCCTTAAAATAGATGAACAATTGGCCTTTTAATGAAAAATTACAATTGTGTGAGGTTCTTTTTAAGTTTTGGAGAGCTTTCCGAGGTGAGAGCCATTGTGCTTTCCACACTGGCTCTTCGGGGTCCACTAACTTTGCCAACTTGCTTCGGCTGTATGAACGTCTCCACGGGGATCTCCAGGTCCTGCGGGTGGCCATAGACAGATCCGGCAGCATAACAGCCAAGGGGGCCTCCAGGTCCCTGGGTTGGCCGCAAATGGCGTGCTCAGTGGAACAGTAATAGGAACACTGTCCATAGAAGCACACATTGCCCACTAGAGGGAGAAAGAGGTGCACACAGAAGGTGATGAAGAGGAGACAATGTCAAAGAATGTCATTAAAGAGGACACGACTGATTGAAGGTTATTCACGTATTTATAATCAGGATTTCAACACCATTCGGTACATTAATAATCTAGGAGAGAGTACCGGGGGAATTAAAGAAGGTTTTGGCCAACTTGCGGTCTGTAGTGACATCTTTAATCTCCTTCACAACATCCACAAGTCTGCCGACCACAGGAGGGATCCTCCTGTATCCTAAAATCCTGTAGAGGGACGGTGGGAGATTAGGACAGCAAATGTTGAGATAAAAGATTGAAAAAGAGGTAAAAAAAATAATAAAACAGTGTTACATAACATGTCATCCTCATGTCATTATTCTGTCCCTTGCGCTGCCCGTTGTAATAGTGTTTTAAATCCCTTTGGTTATTTTTACCTGTCCAGGTGGAAAGCTGCAATTTCTGCATTGTGTCTCTCGAAGTCAGAGAAGTAATAGAGGTTGTAGTTGGTCTCCTCGTCCCTCTCCTGCCTGTTAGGGAAAAGTCCATTTGATTTGTTCTTTTGTCACGATGTGGTCAAGCGTTGGTTGAATCGAACACAGAGAGCACAGCATAGATCACACTGTCAATTACAATCTAATCTAAATATAGTTGTTAAAGATCTGTGTCCAGCTATTAGATGGTTTTTAAATGTTGCTCGTCTGCTCATTCTTTGCATTCTCATCGGATTTTCTAAACCGTTTTCCTGTAAAGGTCGTTGTTTTCACTCTGATTTGAAAACTGCATTGCTAGAAGGACTTTTACTGACGCTTCTGACACTTTTTTAGCATCTAATACGATGCGTTGCCATGCCAACATGAGCTGTTGCCATGTCTGGTTCGGCTTAACCTACCGGTACGTAAATGATGGAAGAAGACTCTAAATCGTGGCTAGGTTGGAGAAAAATGAAGAAGAATGGAGAAGAATGTTTAAATTATTATTTTTTTTTTTTACTTTTGATTCGCACAAAGAAAATGTGATATTTAGTAAATATAAAATAGAGGACATCCGAGCTCTATTTCAGTACTGACATGGCTGCAGGCTCATGGAAGAATGTTGAACATCTGTGTGAGTTTAATGCTGACTGGGATGTTGTTGCCAGGTTACCATCCTATCGCCCCATCATATCCATGATGATCTCTAAAGGTTTCAACAGTTACTCTGTCTCTGCTGTACTTTAATATTTCACAAGTTTCTCACTATCACCCAGCACCAAATTCAAATGTGACCATATTTTTGCCCTTTTGTGTGTACGTTTGTTTGTCTGTAGCATTAACAGATTAATAAAATATCACTTTAAATGTATGTTTACAACTGATTAACTTTTGAGGTCACTCCAATTCACGAAGGCCAACACCACTGATCTGCAGTAGAAACACAAAAATGGCTATAGCGCAAGTGATTTTACAGATATTGAGCTGAAATGTGGTGTGGTGTTACATGAGAATAATTTTCAACTCAAATTCTGTGTGATAATATCTTTCATGAGAGCTCACAATATTGCATTAGCGTGAGAAAAATACTGTGTACAATGTTGAACTAAAATGCCTATAATTGTCATCATGAAGTGGTACTATTTTAAAAACCCTGGCATAAAAGGCTGTAATATGCATTCTTTGAAGGAATGCTAGGCTTATAATTTAGATGCATTTTTATACATATTATTGTTTCAGTACAATTTAGTTATGTGCATTTTTTTTTTTCCATTCAACCTTTATTTAGACAGATAAATCCCATTGAGCCTCGAGGACTCATTTACAAGAGAGACCTGATTTCAACAAAGAATGATGACAACAGCGACAAATTTATAAAATGTTATTAAATCCAGCTCTTATGTTTTCTTCACAGTACATTTCTCAGGTGTGTATTTATTTGAACACTTATCTTAAAGGCTCTTTATATTCCCATTCTGTAATCTAATCTGTGTGTTGGGTATTCTGTTGTTGCAGCTTACTTCTTGGGTTTGAATAAGGCTTGTCCATAGTTGGGAAATGACATCACCAGCTTCAACTGGGTCCCCCCAGACTTCTGCACTGAAAAACAGTGAGGGGAACATCACCATAGCAACAAAGCGCTCTGCACACTCACACATCCTGCTGTGACCAAACACCTGGGCTTTTATTGGAGCGTATGCAGCCATATGCAAGTAAACTCATAGCACAGACAGACTTCTAAATTTGACAGGACTTTGTACTAGTGAATCATTTCCCATCTGTGAGTCACTATTTATCATGAGCCTCATACGTTTTCATTTTTCCAAACGTAGACTTGTGATATTTTGTATGGCTCTCTTTTTTTTTTTATTTAGTACTATGTCATTGTCAATTTGTGCACCTTTTCCCCATCCTTAGTATCTGGTATATTTTGTTTGTTTCCACACGATGATGCAATCAACAGATTGTAATTATCGGAATTTAACCGACACAAGACTGAATTAACAAATTTATCTAATGATTGTCCTTTCTTTAATTTTAGTTTTTTTGAATGTCCAGAGGACCAGATTTAACTTTTTTAGATTTTTCTACCTGGATTATTGAGCATGCATCTGGAGATTATTTAATTTTACTTTTATCAGTTTATCACGTTGTATATTTCACTGTAAAAACGAGCTGCAAGGATATAGACAGATGGAATGGGCTGTTAAATTATATATAATTTTTTGTTAAGTCAGAATCAATCAACAGCAGCATATGAATTAATACAGTCACATTTTTAAAGCTACATCTATTGTGATCACATCTAATGATGGCTATTTTAGTTAGCCTTTGAACAAGGACATAAAATAGGTGAGAAACTGTTTTAAATACGTATTGTTTCTATTACAATTAATGCATGCAATAAAAAAAAAGCCTATTATGTGTTGCCCAAATAGAACATTGGTGGTGCATTTGGTAGAGCTGTTGCCTCTCTGGGAGAAGGTTGCCAGATCAAATCTGGGGGACCTTTCTGGGTGGAGTTTGCATGTTCTCGCCGTGCGTGTGTGGGTTTTCTCCGAGTACTCTGGTTTCCTCCCACAGACCAAAAACATGCATGTTAGGCTGATTGGGAACTCTGAATTGCGCCTTGGTGTGAGTGGGAGAGTGAATGGTTGCTTGTCCCTGTGATGGACTGGAGACCTGTCCACCCACCCCTCACACAGTGACTGCTGGGTATGGGCACCAGTGACCCTCGTGACTCAAAAAGGAAAATACGGAAAAAGATGATGGATGGATGGATGGATGGATGG